AACCGAAGTAACAAATTTAGTATATTTTAGTAAGTATCTGTATAGGCTCATCTTGTCTCATACAAACAAACAACTAGATCTCATCCCAGATGCAAATCACTTAATAGCATCTATACAAATCCATCTAACTGATCTACAATTCTTCATGTTTAACCTCTTCTTCCTTCTTATCATCCTTCGCCTTTCTAATTGCTTCCAAAATTTGTTCTTCGCTAGGCATCTCATCATTCTCTCCCACCTTGAAAATAGGCTTTCCTTCACTTCCTTCATCCCCCTTTCCAGCCTTTCCATCTGGTCCTCCAAAGCCCAAATCAATTGTCGCATCTGCTTCATCAGCAGTTGCAGTTCCAGTCTTCTTACTCTTCTTCGTCTTTGACTTCGATTTTGTGGACCTCTTCTTCTCGGGTTTGCTAGTTGGTTTGCGAGCAGTCTTGTATGGCTGTTTCATACTCTTCATGATAAGTTCTACGCCAATATCTTGAAGTTGTTTGGTCTTTTCGGCGAGATCCTTGACAAGAAGAACAGGGTCAGCTGTAGCAGCGAGTTTTTCTTGTTGGGCGACAAGTTCGGAGAGCCATTTAGAAATATCATCGTAAAGTGCTTGAGGAGCTACGAGATCGGCTTCGTTGTATACTGGTGGGTCCATGGTTTCTTGCTCGGGAGGAGCAGTTACTGTTGATGAAGCGGAACCAACATTCTCTTCATCTTCGAGATCGGCAAAATCATCAACCGTGGCTGTGGATGTTGTTTCGGAACTAGCTGAAGCGCTGGATTTAGATGCGCTGAAGGAAGAATGGGCCTCTGTGTCATTCTTGATTTGCTCTCTTACACCGGCAATGAACGATTTAGTTTGCTCTAGCGCGTCGTTGAGAGATTTCAAATGTTCAGGTCGGCCAGCGGCTTCTTCTCTTCGCTTTTGAATTGGTGCAACGATGTCTTTCATTTCCTTGAGTTTGGCTTTAAGTTCATCACGAGATGCATCGGCACCACCAGAGTAAATCCATTCACTTGCTGCCTTAGATTTGCTCTCTAAATCCGAACGTTCGGCTTCGGTAGATGCGGCGATGAATTCTTCATTATCAAGGAAGTCTCTTGCCTTGTATGTAAATCCTTCCAATTGGTTCAAAGCTTCTTCGCGTAGACGACGGGATCGGTCAGAATCATCAAAGGCGGCGATACGTTCTTTCATTCTGGTGATTTCGGAAGCTGGAACTTCTGGAAGACCTTTGAGTTTAAGTTCATATTTCAATGGAATGACAATCAAAGTTTTCTTGCTCTTGACGGCTTCCTTGTCCTTGGCTGATGCGGATGCGGATTTTGAGGCAGATTTAGAGCTGGACGATGAAGTGGCTTTTTTAGATGTAGTCGAACTTTCGGTGGCGCTAGAGCTATCCGTGGATTCCTTCTCATCCTCTAATGGTGCTTGATCTTTCTTTCCAAATCCGAAAAGTCCCTTGACACTATCGACCATGCTCTCCTTCTCTGTCTCTTCAATCTCACAGTCAACGACGAATTTTACGATATCCATCTCACCGTTGACAGGACTAACACGAGTGCTCAAATGGACTCTGATATCCTTGTTATCGCAATTGTGTTTCTCTTTCAAAAGAGCTACAGACTCTGTCAAATTTTGTGAAGTGATGGCTTTCAGTTCCTTCTCTGCGGATCCTGGCGATACTTTCTCGGATGATGCAACATGTTGATAGAAATCAATAGTGAATTCCTCATGATTTTCGAAAGTAAATTGCTTCTCCGCATTGACGTTAGTGGTCGGTTCGTATAATCTCATGTGCCTTGGCTTCTTGTGAATATCAATGTATTTAATGCCAGCGGCATAAGAAGCACCATCGTAACTTCGAATTTCCTTGACTCTGAATGAAGGACTGAGTCCGGCACCTCTGAATCCAGCACCAAAAACGGCAGCTTCATCGGCATTGACATTGGTGCGGATCTTGTCAGAACCACCAACAATCTTCTCAAGCTCCTTCTGAACAAATGGAGTCCTGATAGCACCTCCATGAAGAATGATAGAATCGAGATCCTTGATCTCAAGATTGGCGGAATCTAAAGCCTTTTCAATAACTGTACCAACTCGAGCAGCGTGATCCTCGGCAAGTTTTTCAAACTCCGCTCGGCTAATCTTGTATTTGAAGTCAACATCTTCGTAGAGACCTTCGAAACTAGCTTGAGTATTGGCATTGGCACTGAGAATTTGTCGTAAACGTTCGGCTTCCTTCCACAACTTCGCAGCAGCTCTTCCATGAGCCTGGACCTTCTCGACAGTTGCTGATACCTTTTGTGCCTTGGGAGATTCGACAAATTGTGCAATCATATCATCGACGATGACAGCGTTGAGAGCGTCGCCTCCAAGTGTTCTATCCCATCCACTGCTAACGACTTTTACTTCTTGGATGGTCTTGTTGAACTTTCCAACGTCCTTTACGGTTCGTCCTTGGAACTTCAAGATTGAAGCCTTTGTAGATCCGGCGCCCATATCAAAAATCATGTGGTGTTCGGCTTTGCCTCCTTCATTGATGCTTGGGAAAGTTCGAGAGGTGGCGTAATTGAGACCGACAGCCAATCCATCACTGATCAATTCCAAAACTCGAAGACCTGCCAAATCTGCCGCCAAAAGAACAGCTCTCTTCTCCTCTGTGGTGTAAAAGACTGGGACGGTAATTACTAAATCATTGACTTTGCTACCAGCTAGAGCCTCGGCGTTCTTTTGAATACTCTGCAATTCCATGGCTAAGATTTCTTCAACAGTCCATGGCTGCTCATCTGCAGCGAATGCACCGCTTCGGAAAGCTGCTGTGCCTCGTGTCTTGTCCGCCTCCAATTGTAAAGCCGGGTGCCTAATTCCATATTGTTTAATGAGATCATTCTCCGTCTTCAATCCCAAGAGGGGCTTGAGGTTAGGATAGACATCTCCAGGAAATCGTGCAGCCAAAGCTAGCGCATCTGAACCGTAAACTCGTTCTGGGAATGATCCGCTAACTGGGTTTTTCGAGGGCTTGAAAGCTACGGCGGATGTTTCTTTTCGACGAGAGTCTTTGGTGAGAACGATTTCGAGTGGAATGCCGGGTTTTACTAGAGCTGCCTTGATATATTCTGTCCCAAGATCAACACCTAAAACAGCCGATGCAGCCAGTGCTGTGGAAGTGAAGATATAAAATAAACATAATATGGACAAGATTGGAGAAGAAAAGGTCTTCCCAGCAGGACTCCTCGAAAGAGCCATTATATGTTGTGGTGTAGCAAGCTTAATTGCTGTAGAAATGAATGAAGTGAAATAATATTTAAGAGGGGGGAAGATGGAGGAGAAGGTCAAAGAAATACTGTAACGAGTTTCAACTACTCGAGTATCAAAATATGACTGCCCTGCCTCAAATATTCGACATAGAATCTGTCCACAAGAATTCCAAGTCAAATATTCGTAAGGACAACAATGCAATTAGAAATATAACAACAAGACCTCTTCTACTTGATTTTTAATATAATTTACTTATGGACAAGTATTCTTTTTCTTGAGACTTCTCCAAGGTGTTCCCAAAGATTGATTGACGTTGATAATCCTTGTAAGGACCAAAGAGGACAGCTTTACAATTATCAGTCCTAAGGCTGAAGGTTTTCGAGGGGGTTCCATCGATAAGATATCTTATCTGAGATCCGATAAGAGAAAGGTGGGAATCACGGAGTAGATAGTACCCGAGACTCCGACTTTCCGACCAACCCAACCCAACATTTGAGTGAAGCTCGAGTGAAGCAAGGTTTCTCGGGTTTCCAACTTTTCCCCTCCATCCATTATCCATTATCCATTATCCATTATCCATTAACGTGATTCATATGCGAGTGGATCATATCATCGAATGGATCACTTCATTTTATATACAAAATTCGTCTGTGTGTAACCATACACTTTCTTTATTTATCGATATAATTTTTCAGAAATTGAATATATAATATCTAATTATATAAATAATATAAAAATCTAATTTTCATTTCAAAATTCCAATTAATATAAAATTTAATTGAAAAAGAAGGTTTTTGTAATATAAAGTGTGACAATTTTAAGCTATAATCAAAATATCTATAAAGAAATTAGAAATTATAGATATTTCATTTTTATTATTATTTTATATTCTTTTATTTTTCAAAAATAATGAATAGCTATTAAAATAGGAATATTAAAAATGACTAATTTTGGTGCATTTTTAAGTGATCCATTCGATGATATGATCCACTCGCATATGAATCACGTTATCCATTATCCATATCCATTCCTCTGCCCCTCCCCCCTCGTTTCTTCCCCTCCATCCCTATTCCTTGACATTAATACAATTGCCGGTAAATGATCTCATCTATTCGTTCGTGTGGCAAAGATATTACAATTCCAATTCCAATTCCAATTACTACCTAGATAGGTAGGTATTTGGAACACAACTCTACAACTAATTACATCTTATGAAAGAAGTATTATTATCACCGATACATGTTCGCCATCTATCACGTCTCGCCGTCTGTTCACACGTTGATTGACACATCGCATTTAAACATTGTCAATCATTCAGCTAATCCACAGCTTCAAAACAAACCAACAAACCAACAATTCCACAAAATACAACTACAATTCCAACTACAACTTGATGACGAAAGATCTTGCGGCTTCTCGGCGACATTTATCAATCGGTACCTTGACTTCTCAACCTGCCTCTCAGCCACCGGTCTACAAGTCAATCATCCATATGTCTGTCTCCTTTCCTTCCATAACCTTATGACTGTCATAAAGCCACAAGTCACACTAGCCATCATTGTGCATATTTTCAGGCGTTTTATATAAACGGCGCATTACAACCACAGAAATAGATTTGTTCGATAATCAGTCCGTTTTATTCTCCTCTTAATTATCATTTGCTACTCATCCAAAAAAACTTCCCACTCTCACAAAAACTATACATTCATACAACTACCAGAGAGACCATCACTCTTGCCGCATCACAATGTCTGCAACTCCTTTCATCCAATTCCTAGGTCCAACAAACCTCGATGGGTATGATCGCAAACTTCCCGCATCAGAGCAACCCGATCATATTCCCAAAACCTTCCTAGACGCTATGGAAGTTCGAGAAGCTGTCTTCGTCCAAGAGCAAGGGGTTCCTCTCGAGAACGAGTTTGATTCCGACGACCCTCGAGCTTGCCACTGGGTCATTTATGCTTCAGTCAACGAAACAACTGATCCTGAAGTCAAGGATGATGATGGTAATATATTACAGAGAAAGAAGAGTAGGACTACATCTCAACCTATTGGCACAATTCGCCTGGTACCATTTCCACATCCACCACATCCTGAACCAGGTTCCAGCTATCATGCTGATGCGCTGGAAACGGCCCCGATTCCCGATGGCACAATTCCACCTCCTTACATTGTCGATCGAGCAACTACATATCATGACGGAGTCGAACCATATATAAAACTGGGTAGAATTGCAGTCATCAAGGATTGCAGGGGTGCTGGCATCTCCAAATTACTGGCAGGCGCAGCTATGTCGTGGGCGCAACAGAACCCTACATTCTTTAATCCATCTGTTGCCACAATGGGAATGGAAAATGTTGGAGCTTCGACCACAGAAGAAATACCTGTGTGGAAAGGTTTGATGTGTGTTCACGCACAGGAACAGGTTGCGCCAGCTTGGGCTAAATGGGGATTTAAGATTGATGAGAAGATGGGAACTTGGGACGAGGAAGGAATCAAGCATGTTGGAATGTTCCAAAGAGTGAAGACGCTTAGCATTGCACCTACGATATAAGCAGCTATATTGCGGTAGAAGCCTCCTTCTCTTCAAAAGTATGAGGGGAATCTGGAAAACGGGATATTTTGGGAGGGTTTGTTAAAATGAGAGAGAGAGAGATACCCGGTTGATGGTTTGATAAAAGACGAAATTAATGACTTTAACGATAAATGAGGCCGGCAGTTTGCAACAATGAAAATTATAATTCCAAAAAGCAATCGCTTCCAGGTCTTACAATCTTTCCTTTTCTTATTTCTTAATGTGAAGCTCTGATGTGCTATCATGGTCAGACATAGTTGTCTCCAAGTTTTCAATCTCAATTACTTTGCAGCAGCGTGTCTTGTCCCAAAACCTTCTGACGAATGATTGGGCCTCAAGGCCACCCCTTTTCGCTCCCTCATTTCTCTCCTACAGTAATTTCATCGTGCAGAGCCCGTCGCGATGATGTACTGGTTGGTTAACATGACTATTCACGTCTTTTGAAATTGATAAACTCGCGAACTGGGTAAGTTGACTTGATTACTTGGTCACATCACAGGTTTAAACCCAGGTTCTCTTTACTCGATTTCTTTGCTCTTGTTTTCTCATCGACTTACGAGGCGAGTTGGCGTTTTCGATCTCGAAGAAGAATATAGTGCTCTGTATGCAGCCACTACCCTACTCATTCGTTTCTATCTGCATACTCCTCAGTTCTAAGTTCTGCTCTCAATATATCGTCTGGAGCCGCATGATAGTTGTTCGATTAACTACCAACTGTCTTGCCGGATTGATTGATTTGAAATAATGTTCAAGAATCAAGGAATTGGCAGATTCATTAAGAAGTTCTAGTTATGAACACAGTGTCTGATGAGAGAGATAGCCGAGTTCAAACACGTTGATATCATGGGGAAGTCCAGTTCTTCCAAGTGTTGGTAATATCAGATCAAGGGTTCTACTTTCAAAAACGCGACGCTCATACTCACATATGTATTCGATGTTACACCGTCTACAACTTAGGAAATAATGTTCGTATTATATTGTTCACTGAATATGACGAGCATTGAAAGATGCACCGATTAATGCACGCCGGCTACAATTTATTGAAGCTGCATATTGTGGAAGAAATAAGTAAATCCTCAGGATCTCAATATCCCCATGACATATGAAAGATGTGTTCTAAATGTGTATTAATTCTAAATGTGTATTGAATGACTCGCTCATTTGAAGTTGTCTCGCTTGTCATTATCCTCACGCCCGGGACGCATGTATTTTACGTATCATCGTGCAGTATCTCAGACACAGTGAGGTCACTCGCATTATTTATCTGCATGGTCGCGGGGAAGTGCAGGTGCCTGGCAAGTTGATAGGCTGTGAGGGATCGTTTACTGGTTTCGTGAAAATGTGTAGAAGTGCTGCCTGAAGTGAGGCAAAAAGTAACGTATTCGGCGGCGCAGCCTTGTGAGGGGGAGATGGGTGGGGGTATATAATCCTACATGCTTCTTTCACCCTCCGAGTTTCTCTACTTTTACTATTCTCAAAAAGCTGCAAGTCAATTAGTAGCATTGGAATAATCATGTAAGTCATAGTGCTTCCTCTACAGAATTCAAATCGAAGACGATCGATGAGCTAATAAGTCATAGGCTCGCTCACATACTAACCTACGGTAACTGGAAAGCCCAGCATGGTGCTCAGGCAACATCTGTTCCACTCACTTTCATTGAGAATCTCAAGGAAACCTATTCAGACCACCACGTTATGCAGACCAATCCTGATAAATGTGACCTCATGGGTTACGCCGATGCCGGTTTCGCAAAAAATGAACGCAGTGATGAAATTGCTAATTGGACTATTCAAACATACCACGCACCAGGATCTCGTCTTGCCAATAAACCGAAGACAGTCGTTGAAGATGTCAAATTCGGCAGGTGGAATTATGTTTGGGAGAAAATGGAATATACTGTTTATCAAGCACAGTATGATCATCCAGCGGGGTTCGGCACTTTGAAGTTACAGTTTATCCTCACAAATAAAGAAAAAGACCCCTCCGCTGAGAGTACAAATGCTTTGATTCTAGCCGCCAGTGCTTGGACTGTTGAACTTCACGAAGAAATATACGTCTTCGATAGTCAAGAATGGGTTAAAGACAAGAATCTTTATGAATCTGTTCAGGGCTCCTCGTGGGACGAAGTCATTCTCAATAAAAGAATGAAAGCCAATCTTATCGCTGATGTGGAGGGCTTCTTTGATAATCAGGCTTTGTATAAGAAGCTTGCTGTGCCTTGGAAACGTGGGATCATTTTGCATGGTGTACCAGGTAAGAATTTTCAGGAATCTCTACCCATGGGCACGTACTTCATTGGAAATGGTGTCGGTCCGTATCTCTCCGACCCAAATACATCTTCTTATTCTATACATCTTACTTCGAGTCAATTTTCTCTCACTTCCTAAAACTTTCACCCCCATGTTCATCCTCGCTAACACCCAACTCCAGGTAATGGCAAAACTATTTCCATCAAAGCCCTCATGTCAAGTCTCTCCTCTCGTCCCTCCCCTATCCCATCCCTATATGTCAAATCTTTCGACGGTAAATGCCATGGCCCAAAATGGGCCATCTCAACCATTTTCCAAAAAGCCCGCAAAATGGCACCCTGCCTCCTCATCTTCGAAGATCTCGATTCTCTCGTCACAGAGAAAACGAGATCTTACTTCCTAAATGAAGTAGATGGACTAGAATCCAATGATGGAATCCTTATGATCGGCAGTACGAATCATTTAGGAAAATTAGACTCGAGTATTAGTAAGAGACCAAGCAAATTTGATCGGAAGTACTGCTTTAGGGTTCCGAATGAAGAAGAGCGTAGAGCGTATGTAGGGTTTTGGAGAGGAAAATTGGGAAAGGATGGAGGGGATATGGTGGACTTTGGAGAGGAATTGTGTCCACTTGTGGCGAAGACGACGGAGGGATTTAGTTTTGCTTATTTGAAAGAGCTGTTTATTGTTACGCTGTTAAGTATTGCGAGGGGTGCTACGGGTGCGGGTCATGATGGTGCTGGGGGGGAGGAGGAGGAGAGTGAGAGTCCCACGACTGCTTGTACATCCACACCTACGGATGATGGGGTAGTGGTTGAGAATGACGATAGCATGGAAAATGTTCTTCAAAATACTCGACCTTCTACTGACACCGAGGAAACAGCGGAGCGGACCAAACATCAGAAGACTCTCCCAAAAGTAGATATTCCTGAGCATCTCACAGATAACATTTTTCTCAAAGCACTTTTGGTGCAAGCGAAGATGCTGGTAGAGGAAATGGATAACACGGATGAACTCATGGGAGGGGAGAAGGTTCTTGGTTCGAATGGGATGGGTGGTCCTTTGCCCATAGGAATGGCGAGGGCGAGGGCGGTCATGGGTACGTGTTGATTACATTTTGGGAGAGCAGTGAAGTGGTAGGGTGGAGTGAGGTTAGGGCGTGCTGACCTTCGGCAATGGAATGGGCACTTGCGATGAAATTTTCTTTTTGGCTCTACAGATTATTACATTCGCTTAAAGATTTTTATAGACAGAGAAAATCCTTTCATATCGATATGTATATCTGTTCAAGTATTTTATTGGCCTGGTGATGACGGCCGTGAGTGTTTTTATTTTATCTAATAGTGAACGAGCTCATATAAGTCAAATTCTAGACTCATACCCTCTTTTCTCCAATTGTACAATCTCATGATATCCATATAAATCGTTGAAAAGAACATCACACCCATCTTGTTATGCTCTTTACTTCCCATATAGCAACTGGTAGCAACGAATTGAGTCATGAGAAATTATCATGCTGGTACACTCTTCGCTTCTCCTTCCAATATACATAGTCCCTCTCATCGATACATCGTACCATCGCAGCAGGAAATCACTCGTACAAAAACCATATCATAATATCAACATCGACGCATCTCCTCAAATTCGCTCCTCTTACATATCCTAGTAAAGCTCCCTCCACACTCGGCATTCTCACCTCATCCTCTCCAAACCGTATCTTTCCAATAGTAACTGTTGAATCAATATAAACGTTTCCAAGATTGACTATCTGGTGTCTCTCTTTCATTATCTGTATCTAGCTATTCCCAATGCGACTATGAATTGAGGATATCGATAGGAGTTCCATGACTGACGATACAATTATCTCTGCTTGACTAGAATAGAAGCTTATCTCGATTTACTACTTAGAAAGCTGGGATTGTGCTGCAGTTCGAGCAGTCTTTGTCAAAGTTCATGCCCTGCCCACCAACGGAATGTGCTCTCTGGAAGAGGCTATGACCTCGAGGGACATGCACAAACCGAAGCATCAACTATATATTTCACAACACTGAGATATCCCTTCAGCCAAGTATCTGCCTAAAATGGTCGTCGACATTCCCTCTAAATCTCACTTGTGCTTACATATTCAGCAATCACATGATTAGTCCTGAACTCCGACTTCATGTCCATTCATGAGACGAGCAGCACCCACGACACTATTGGCAAGATACTTGTTACTAGAGAGTAAATCTGTGAGCTGAAATCGAAAATTCCATTTTCGAATATAAAGCTATTGGCATTTGGGAATTATCCCGGTATATCCAAGTTTTCGGAGTTCGGTGTTCGGTGTAAGCAATTTTGAACGTGTCAGTCATCCGGCGTAAAGTGTTGATTGCACAATATATATAGGTAGTTGCCTAATAAGGGTCTTCGAGTACTTAAGTGAATATCGAAACTTGTATCAATCCTCCTCTATCATTTCCACGCCTTCCAATGATCTAGCTGTTAAAACCTAGAATCACACATCCAAAATGCCGTCCCAACCCTTCACTCTTCGCCCCGCGACCCTTTTCGATATTCCTCAAATGACACACATTGTCATCGCAGCCTATGGTTCCAGCCCCGTAAGCGACTTCCTGAATCCTCACGCAAAACAATATCCGCGAGATCAACAGATATCTGTTGGGCAAGCTGTTACGAAATCCTACCTGAACCCTCAGACTCTGACCCTGGTAGTCTGTTCTCCCGAGTCACCTGATGTTCTTTTGGCATATGGGATGTATAGTCGTAAAGGTGTAGATTCCGGAGTCAAGGAATTTGTAAATGAGAGGCGCGGCGTGGAAAGAATCGGGAGATGGATATTCAGTTCCATCTTAACAGTTCTGTTCGGATTATATAATTACCTCCGGCCAGACCGTTCTGTATCAAAACCCAACAGGGCCGTTTTCGATCACTCAATCAAAATGGATCAAGAGCGTTATTGGTCTCCCGAAGCTTTCCCAAGGAGGCAAAATCGCTGGCATGTAAATAGTATCGTTGTACTTCCTGAGTACCAAGGGAAAGGCATCGGAAGGTTGCTGATGGAGTATATTTTGGAGAGGGCGAGGAAAGAGAATGTTCCTGCAGGATTGACTGCTAGTATTGAAGGAGAGAAATTGTACAGAAAAATGGGGCTCAGAATGCTAGGAGATTTCTACACGAGAGTTGGGAGGCAGCATGCAGATGGAGGCGGGCATATGATTTGGTGGCCGGAGGGTGTTGAGAAGGACGGAGACTATTGAGCAGTGCTATTAGAGTACTAAATGCTATGAGTACACAGACGGAAAAGCGTATTGAAATTACAAAGCTATCGTAATCAATCCCATTTGGCATGAAAGTATATTATAGGAAATGAGATCCAAGCCCTTTCCACTTGAATTGAACACATTTCAAAATGAACAACGTCCTCCACAATCTCAAACGATGGCTTCATAGTTGACACTGAACCTCCTATTTCCCTCCAATTCCGGCTCAAAAATCACTCTTTCCCACTTCATACCCAGACCACAAATTGCATACACTACACCCGCTACAACAACCAACCAATAGACATTCCCTACAGTCGCCACTACTGCATCTAATGCACTTTTCATAACATCCCCATCGATAGGTCTCATATCTCCCAACCCCTCCCCCTTCAACCCACCCAAGGCTTCCCTGATAATCTCCACCGGAACCCCATCTCCAAAAACTTCTTGAAGCTTCTTGACTCCCAAGTTTTGGTATATGCATCCCGCAATACTAAGCGCAATACCCGCACAGCCCACTTGCGCGAAATTTATATACGCAATAAGTTTTTGTTCATCGCCGCCTGATTCTTCAGTGGCTGTGGTATCCTGTGCACCCACCGATGACACTTTACTCATACCAATATCGTAGGCTATTTGGAACATCATGCCTACTCCTATTCCTATCAAGATAGAATAAAGATAAATTTTTCTGTTGGGCGTATTGATAGTGACTCGACTCATGAATATTCCGCCGACAATCATGAAGACTGAGGCGAGAATGTAAATAGCTTTGTAGTAACCGATTCGAGGGAGTAATGCGCCTGTGCATAAAATTATGATGAAGAAGGCTGCGATTTCAGGGATCAAATTTAGTGCCGATGCCATAGGAGAAGAGCCATGTGCAAATTGATACAGAAGAGGAATATAGAAGATAGGTGTGACGAGTGCAGTCATTGACGCAGCTGTAGCGATAAAAAGAAGAACGAGTGTTCGAGAACGGAGGAAATGAACTGGAAAAATACGATGGGAAGAAGTGGTGAGGAGGCAAAGAGATTGTTGGATAATATAGCAGAAAAAAGAAATTCCGAAGAACGTCCAGACTGCGATGGAGGAAATGGATGACCAGGACCAGGCTGAGCCGCCCATTGTGACACCAACGAGAAAAGAAAACCATGCGATAACATGTAAGACGAACCCGAGGAAATCAATGAGTTTGAGTTTCTGTGAGGTCGAAATGGAAGGCATAGGGTTGTGTTTTAGAGAAAGAAGGAGGAACAGGGGTGTCATAATTGCGGCAAGAGGAAGGTTGATATAGAAAGACCAACGCCAACCGAGAGCCGGAGCATTCTCAAAAGCCCCGCCAATTACTGGACCAAGAATGTTGCCGAGTCCAAAGGAAATTCCAAGTATTGCGTTGTAGATGGGTCTTGTACGTGGAGCTGTAAATTTGGATAGATAGTTAAGAGCTCTAACGATATGGTTAGTACATGTAGCATGACTGCCAATCCCCCATCTCATCACTTTGTTTCAGTCCTCGATATTTTTAAGCAATTGAAGGAACTTTTCATACAACAAGCAAGGAAGCCAAAAATATAGAAGAAGAAACCTACCCTAGATCAATTCCTGCTCCTCCAATACCCACCATGATCCGTCCAACTATCATAACATTCATTGAAGTCGAAGCTCCACAAAGTGCACTTCCTATCTCAAAAAGCAACATGCTAAACATGTACATGTATTTGATCTGGAAGACCCCATAGCAAGAACCAATAAGCAGAATAGTAGCTCCAGATCCAAGCAACCGTTTCAATTTCCCCCAGACTTTGGAGAATAGGTCCTTGAGCGTCGGCGACTATGGTGGCATCAAGCCCTAGATTGCGTCAATTAGGAACAGACAACGAATGCCCTTGGGCTTCGACAACGACATATGTGAGCCTTCCCTGCTAGAAACGCCCTTATAGATAATCCGCAGAAGACTATGATCCATTTCCAAGTCGAGATGGTTTTGCTCTCTGACACCAACGGTACCTGAAGATCGCTGAACCGTCGTTCATGTTGTAAGAGCTGTTCTCTTGAGCCTTTCTCATCTGGTATATATTTTTCCAATGGAAAAATAGAGTTTGATCTTGGGAAAGTAATCATAGAAGGAGGTGATTCAATTAGACCTAGAAAGGATTCCGTCGACTCAGATGAGAATTTACTTGATTCATCAAATACTCCACTTCGTGATCTAGGATGTCTATCCTTGAAATTCATGATGTATGTGATTGAGAAATTATTATTTCACGACTATAAAAATGGAAGGGACTTGAAGTGTCATCAAACCAGACACAGCCCTCCATCAACATATCGTCGATTGTACGCCGCAGAGTCTTCATGGCTATATGGATAATGTGTTGATACCAAAAATACTTCAATGCCTTACTTATATACAATGAGGTTGCATTTCAATTTTTGTTGGGTTGTAGAAATGATATGGTGGGGGTGGGGGGCTGAATATAGATGTATGTATTTATATCAACATGTGCGTCACATCGGAAGATATACCTGCCGACGGTTATATCGACTTTCTGCATCAAACTCGGAGGTTTGACTGCATACAGGTATGATGCGATGTCTCACCGGCAAATATTATTGATAACGCGATTGAGTGGTGGTAATTTTGGCCCCCCGTTGCATACTAACTGCGCGTATCACAATGTTGAAGATATCTGGAGAGGGCAGGTGAGATGCACGAAATGAATTGTTTGGGCAAAGGATGATAATGAAGCGGGGTAAACTGCCATTGACAGATCTCTTTTATCCATAGCTATGATCAGAAGATGAAGGTTTGAACACTCATCTTGGGTATACCCAATACCAACGCGTACCCTTACTTTGGATTGTGTGGTGTTGAGGTTTTATGATAACGTATGTGACGGAAAAAGAAGCTGGAATCGAAGGTCCATGTGAAGGTTGCAATGGATACGGTTCCTAGACCGCACGTCACTATACATGCAAAGAGATTTCAATGCAAATCCGAATAGACTCATGGTATCAAAGATATTGCCTTGCTATACCCATTTAGATACCAACCCCGTAGAGGGTAGGAGTGTGAATATCGATCGAATCTAGTGACGACCTCCGAAATCACAATCCGAACACCGCTAAGCATGTATATGTCGGGAGGGTGCATTCATCAAAATAGAAATGGCAGATGACTAATTAAAATAGTATAACTGCGTCTTCCGATAGATGTACTTGAAGTGTACTTTTAGGAAGTAGTTGAACACAATCAGCAAAGACAAACGCAGAAGGGTGGCATCATGGCTGACTGATATCCGGGATGAGAGCCCAACTTGATGCCTGAGGCACTACTGAGCATTCTATACCGTTTTTCAACATCCAGTTTGGCAACTGAGACAACTCACATAAACACGACTCATTGTGTATTAAAAGTACCATGTTTTTTACGATCTTCTGCCCAACAGTACATATAAGCTCTCTTGAGCACAATGGCTAACCCTAGATTCCAAGTTTATAACCCCCTGGCATCAATGTCTGGAAAAGTCTAGTTGGGTCATATTTTCTCGAAATAGACAAAAGCTTGGCCTCATTCGTTGCTCCATATCCAGGGAAAATGCTCTGGAAACCAGCTGCATCGCCCATATAGTTGAAAGGGTCGTAGAGCCCGGCCGCCTCCGTAGCATTATTGATCGCATAAGTTGTTTTCTCGACCCAGGCGGCGACAATTTCGTCATAAGATGACCCGATCCATTCTACAACTTCTGCGTAGCAAAGATACGTGCCCTTCGAAGAATCAAGACCTAGTGCATTACCACCTTTTGCCTCTGAGGCACTCAACCAAAGCGAGCCGATCGGTTGCCAATCAATCTCGATAATGGAAATACTATCTGCCGGTAGCTGAGCATAAAGCTCAGGAAGCGCTGAATAAAATGTGTCGTTGATAATTTTTATCCCTTGAAGAAGCTCGTCATATGTTTTGCCCACGATAGTTCCCGCAACGAACACGTCATTAATATCGGGTGTTATAGCGGTATTCGTCTCGAGGGAGAATTCTGTGAGCGTCTTAAAGTCCAAAGTGTTACTAATACTCGGGATGGAAGTGAAAGATTCAAAACAAGCAGGGTAGCTGATATTAGTGCTATCATAAAAGAGAATGACGGCGCCAACAGAGGTGGTCGAGTCAACTGGGATGACTGCAGGAACAATGTGAGAAAGCGGATCGACAATGTTCGTGGAGTAGTTTGCAATGGCCTTTGATTCTTAGCATATCTCTGTCAAACGGGGGGGGGGGGGGAAGAAATGCTTACCGCATAAAATTGCGGTATATATTCCTGTGCAACGGTGTATATACCAGCCCAAATTCTTTCGGATGGAACTGTTCTCAAATCAAATCTCGTAACAATACCAAAATTGCTGCTGCCTCCTTTCAACGCCCAGAAGAGATCGGCGTAGGAGCTGGAGGTGGCGTATACAATCGTGCCATTTGCCAGGACCACCTCATACCCAATGACCATATCAGCAGAGAATCCATGCTGGTTTCCATAAAAGTTTACGCCACCAGCAAGAAGGAGCCCTGGTACACCGACTGAAGCTAAGCGACCTCCAAGGACAGCGCGATTGTAGGTCTGAAGATAACTATACACATCCCCCCATCGATGAGACGGCCCAACAGAGAGGGTGCTATAATCATTCGATATCGAGAGTGTCGTCAGGTTTGACATGACAATCAGTACGCCGTTGTCAATATTGTTCGACCCCTTGATTGCCATGTGGCCACCACCTCTTACAGCAAACTTTCCTTCTGCCGTCCCCAAGAGTGCAATTGCGGCTGCAACATCTCTAGCAGTCGTAGGTCGAAAGACACATTCAGGGCTCAAATATTCCGTCTGAGACCAAAAATTCTTGTTTTCGTACTGGTAAATGGTACTATTGGAGTAAAAGACTTTGTCCGGGAAGACGGCTTCGACTGTAGCGCACCCAACGACATCGCTCGCGATATCGCGGATGAAGTTGTCGGCTGAAACCCAGTTGCCGAAAAGCAGCGGACTAAGAATGAGACCAAGTATAGCTCCCGCCATAATTTTTACTTATTACCAGAATGGCAAGCAATCGACAATCGACCAACAATGATGATTGCACGGAAAGGTGTATTTACATACCTTCTTCAAGAAAACTAACATTGGCGGTAAATAGACTATCGAAATTTTTCGACGCACGTTGTTACCGAAATCACCTAGGTGTGTGGGAGTTCATCCTTCATCTAATGGCTTATTTCCGCCATTCTAGATTAATATCCACACCCCTAATTTACTGTAGCATTGTATTTGGGATTTGTCCATCGGTACGTGAGGAAACGCGGGGATTAATTGCGGTGAAGACAATCTCGGTGCAGATTGCCGTTCACTACTTTTACCACTGAACTATTGATAGGCTCCACATGGCGTCTTTCTGCTTCTCAAGCTACGAAAACCCACCACGCTACCGAAAACGTGGTGTGCGGATTACCAGTCGCACATGGTAAGTTTGGACTAGCATATACCGGACTTGTTCTGTTTTCTCTACTTCGTACATACCAAGAGCTCTCAACTTTTCCTATTGCTTCCTGAATTCGTTTTTGTTGTACACTGGCATTGACAGTCAATTGTCAATCTGCAAGGCTTACTGCTGCCGTTGGGTTATGCTTGTGGATGAATAAACGATATTTCATAAAAAGCTATGATCTGTATATAGATTAGCTATCTACACTAAACCGTCGAAACTTGTTACTATGTGTCCCAAAAAGACTCTTTGCTGCCTTCAAGTGAAGGACTCATTCATTCATTTAGTCAGATCCAGCCGTCGACACAAACCGAAACAAGTAGCGGAGAGCTATCTGACGGCGGGATATTATCCAATGACGGAGGATATTGAGCCCTTCAGCAAAATCTCTTTCGCATATATCATCAATACGCATAATTGATTGAGCCCTGTCCTCAAATAAAAGCAACTCTGTAGCACATCTTTCGATTTTCAGTGTAAAAAATGGGAACGATTTTCAAGTGGGATAGCCCACCCCCATGTGCGCCCACTAAAAACCCCTGGTATTATAGTGGATAAATAATCCTCTTCGAGAAGTGATCTTTATAGTGTGCTCCACTATAGTTATGTGCCGAGATGGGCTCTGAGGATCATTACAGATATGTGATGTTACACAGACAATTCAGCTTTTTTTTGTAGACGGAAAATGCTTCAAATCCGATATTATCGCAAAATAGTACGAAAGTTCTAATCTTTTGACATTCAGCCACTAGGTCTTGGCCTATTTTTTTCTCCATATTCTCTAGGCTACCGGTTTCTGGCTCGGCTCGCCCCGGTATTACGTACTGTGTGTTAGGAAGGACGCCCACTAAACTATTGGTACTGACTCGAACACTCCTCATGACCGTCAAGGGTGTCGATTTTACATGGTAGAATCAAGAATGGTGCTGTAGCATCGTAATCTCAATCCTACACTCAATCAAAGAACTGGTTTAAAATGCTGTGATACAGCCAAATCGAAGGTAGCGGTCTGGTCATGGGAGAGAAAAAAAAGACCAGAGTTGACCACTGGCAAAGCCCTTCAACAATCCAATGGTTCCATTTCGATTCAGAGAATTAAGAGTCTAAACAGCATTACAACTGAAGGATATCTAAGGATCCGTTTGATTAACTCTTATCATTTTATTCGTGGTTGATTTATCAAAGAATTTATCGAGGTGATCAATCTTGGCCTCTTCTTTCTCCTACGTGTAGATGGTAGCACATTTTACCGAAGATACGCCTAGAAAGGAGGGAAGCCAATTGGTCTTGAAAGAAATCGCGAATATTATCATCAAGTCAATTGCAATTACTTATAAAGCAGACAGTGTGTAATTTGACTTACTGTAATCATGAAGAGCCTTCCGATATTTTATCGTTCCCTTCAGCAATGTCTATGCAATAAGATCCAGCTACACGACTATCATGCGCAAGAAGAAAAGACCAGCCTAGCGATCGTCAGAAATAGTTGAACATCACAATTCTTCGTTCTAATTGTAATTTGATATCAAAACAGTAAAGTAATACCTGTTCTAAGAAGTTTCAGACATCATATTCAGTAATTCAATCTCGTTGTTCCATTGGAGAGAATTTACAGTACAGAATACATTTTGAAATCACTTTTGGCAAAGAATTACTTTCAAACTTTCTCTGA